GTGGTAGGCATCAGAGTTTAGTCCGCAAACCTTGTTTCTAACGATCCAGGCGCTTGTACTAGAATCAATTCCTCAGCTTTATCGCTGAGCCGAGGCTTCCTTGGACTGATTCAAATTAATTTGTAGGATCAGCACCATCCTCAGGGTCGGTGATGTCCATCGCCTCTAGCTCCTCCCGCTCGGTGGCGGCAATGACAGTGGCATCGTTATCCTCCTCCTCCGGTTCGGAGACAAGAAGCTGTTCCTCGTCCGGCATTGCCCACCTCCTGTATACCGGCCTTACGTAGGCAAACACTGAGCCCATGTTGCTCTCATTTTCTGACGCGGTATCTGGTACACCTATTTGTAGGTCTCCAGACCCACTCGTGGTGTTTGCTGCTGACCCCGTGCTGACTGCCACCGATGCCGACTCGGAGGCACAAGGTCCGCTCGAGGCGTTGCCTTTTTTGTTGGCCTCTTCGTCGGTAGAGTTGTCCGAAGGTGTGGGCCCGCTCGAGGTTTTGCCCGTCTCCTCCCCTTGTAGGTCAGATTTCTGGTGGATTTTTACCGTGACGGAGTAAAATCAGTAGCTAATTACCCCACCACAACCCTCGAGAACTGCCAAGGAAGCATCGTTGATAAGAAAGTAAAAAAAACGCTGCTTCCCCTTGGTCTTGCCAACTCGGACTATCCTCCAATCACTGGTAGGCAGTCCTTCGTTGCCGAGTCTGATAAATTCCAGAAACTCCTCCGGCTTTGATGGTTCAGCTGGGACCAGCAGGGACTTCGTCCCTATGGACGGCAGCTAAGTCTGTTACGGGCCACAGGTGGATATCGCGGACGACTGGTGCAGGGCCGGGGTACTTCTGGGGTATTCCTGTGTACACTCTACATAGACCTCAATAATAAAAGTTTGGTAGATTAAAGCAGATTCTTGCGGGCAAAGACCGCATTGGTATGCCCTTCGCTTCTTGTAAATTGTTTTAAAGGTAATTTATCTATGCTTGCGCCAGCGAAAGTTGGACGCAAACTACAACCTGTAGAATTTATTAATTTATAGGCAAACTTGGCCTAGGTGGGATCGAAAAAGTTCTCGAGGCTTGTATTTTCTAAAGAGGGAGGATATATCTCACACAATTGGTGCTATAACAGGCAACTACCCTATAGGTAAATACGCAGAACGACTCGGAGTGCCTTACCATAGATGCTGCAGAAGTTGCAAGAACTACGAGGAGGAGGAGACAGTTTTCCACCTTCTCTGTAACTGCCCGGCATTATTGAGATTCAGATTGTGCGTTCTGGGGTCCCCTTTCTTTAGTGACATTGGCAAATTGGGAGATCTAAACCCTACAATACAAGCAATGCCAATCTTAATTGAGGTCTCTTTGTGTTTGCCCCACTAAACAACGTTGCAATTCAATGTGTAAGATAAACTAGGTATGCATAAAATACAATCCAATGCGTTCGGTAAACTGGCTATGCACAAATAAAATAAATTGGTAAAGAGGCAAAATTTATTAAAATGCTCGTTGTTCATCCCTTAACCACATTGACATATCTACATATTATTGGACAAAGGTTACACCAGACGAAAGCTACTGATCTCCAAAAGGCGGTAAGTTCACGGCTGCTTCAAAGAAGTGCCACCTAATTTACAAAGTTTTTGGTAGGATTTGACCACATTTGGTGGGAAGAAAAAATCGTATCTTGAAACACTGATAAACGGAAAAGGTTTTTTGCGTAAAGCATGAAACAATATATTATAAATACCTGTTTGAGACCATCCATATCTAATAACAAAAGTTCAGTATCAAACGATATTTCTGTGGCCATAAGCAATAATCGCCTAAGTCGCAAAACCTGAGTTCGAGAAAAAACGCTTTAAAGATTTGGATTGCAATGTTAACCTTGGGGGAAACCAAAATATTTTCGTCTATAACTTCTTAAATAGCCCAGCTAACGAGATGGGAGTTTCACATACATAGGGAATAGTAGTTGCAGAAAACGATATCATATATAACTCAATCCTTTCTTAAGTCGACTTAGGCGGTTATTGTTTATGACCACAGATTTTATATACTATGTATATGGCAATAGCGTAAAATAGACAATAGATGTATTTTTACACGCAGATATATAGTAGTATATCTACGATTAACGTGTAAAAAAAACAAGCAACAAGACAATTTCCATTTAAAAACAATTATTCATAAGCGCACAAAAAAGTTTGTCGCTTACAGCTTCATACAAATTTTAAGCGCAGATACGTATGCGTGTAAAAAACACCATAATTTTTTATTTATTGATTCTATTATTTTCAGGTATATTGTGTATATAATTCATATTTTCTTTAAAATGGCAAGCTAGTCACAAACATTTGGTCGATCGTTGTAGGTATTGGAACTAAATCTTCGATTTTAAGATAAAAAATTCTTTGCAATCCTTGTATGCTAAGTGATCTTAATTCAGGTAATAATCAGAGCAGGCGGCTAAAATGATACGGTCCTTTTTGATATTTTGGATTAGTAATCACATAATCTCGGAGACTTTCTATGATTTTCAACTGTATATCTTCAACTTTTATAGGCTCTTGAAGTTCATGACGTTCTGTAAAGAAATAAAAAAAGGCGTGAGTACTAGGTACTCAGGAAATTTGATGTGTAAGCATATGCGTACGGCAAAGCATAAAAGTACGTTTACGTATAAATATAATCTCAATCACAACTCGAGGAAATGTTACTGTCGAGAACATGACCTCGAAATTAATAGAACTATAAGTATTATCAAATCGATATGTCTTGCGATGAATCCCAATACTGCCAAATGAATTGTATGTATGAATAACCTTTGTATGAATTACTTATTTTTGCAACTCTGTTCAAATCTCGTAAGCTTAAGCGGTCTACTATTTCGATTTTTTCCGCCAGTTAAAGCCGTTCGTAATAATTCTGTTAAATGTTGGATAGTCAATAGGTACGTTCGTTTCAAATCTCCAGTAAAAAATGT